CAGGAATAGCCACCTAGAATTCCTTTTAAACACTAAATGTACTCTAAAAAGCTGAAAAGAATCCACAGCTTCACTTGTGAATCAAATTCCTGCATAAAGTGCATCTCTGTGTAGGAATCCCCTGAACTTCTGCATATTGAGGACCATATAATTATAATCTGACGCCTGTATGAACACCAGGAAACTATGTAGTTGGAACTAGGGATGAAAGTAAGCTGGTATGAACCAATACAGACAACCCATAATAGTTCCTTTGATACCTTCCTTCACTCAACCTAGAGAACACTGGTATGAAACTTAGGATGTCTCAAGCCCTGGCCACAGTTTCCCAGCACATGTACACAGTCGGCTGCTTCAGAGAGCACTGGGTTACAAAACGTTCAGATGCACCTCAGTATATACACTGAAATCAACCCTGACTGTTCCCTGGAAGGCCAGATAATGAAACTGAAGCTCAAATACTTTGGCCACCAAATGAAAAGGGAGCACTCACTGGAAAAGACCCTGATGCTGGGAAAGATTGAAGGTCAAAGAAGACGGGACGGCAAAGGATGAGATGGTTAGACAGTGTCATCGATGCAACGAACATGAAGTTGAGCCAACTTCAGAGGACGGCGGAAGGCCTGGCGTGATGTGGTCCATGGGGTCGCGAAGAGTCGGACTCGACTGTGCGACTGAACAACAACAAATATACACTAACTTGATTCATCCATATCACAACTGAGCCAGTTAGGCAGCCTTTCATGCGCAGTGCCTTATTCACACATGCTAGTCACTCCTTGAGGCTGAATTAACCTGGAAACACGTCCACACTCCTAAGGCGCGGGCACAGTATACAACTTTGGAGAAATACCTGTGTGTTCATCTGCTACAGGAACAAAAACCAGAATTCCCACCCACAGACAAGGCTTGCGGCACCTTAAAACTTAACATCCGTTTCGGCACAAGCTTTGGTCAGACCTCCTCACTTCAGGGGCTCACACGGAGCAGGACCCATCGTGTGACACGAGCCTTGTCTTGCCCCCAAAGGTCTGGGCTGGAATAAAACTCGGTGAGGCTTCAAAGCACCACCGGACTCCCAACGTCTTCATTTCCCACTTAGTCCCAACCTCATTTTCAACTTGGAAACAGTTCACTCGGGGCAAGAGGATTTACACCCTGTGGCTTACTTATGAGTCAGTGCGAAAGGACCGAGCCCCCACACCCCTCTGAAAGGGCAGACAGAAGGCCCCAACCAACCTCGCCCCCCCCAAAGCCTTTGAGGCCTGCCATTCCCCCCACCCCCGGGCTTACCCTCTCGCAGGGCCTGGCTGGCGGCTTCCCGAGCTGCCCAGAGTTGCCCTTGCCCCAGCAACTCGCTGAGGCGGCGCCACGTCCGCGTCCTCTGGCACTCCGCCAGGAACCACTTCTCCGCCAAGTGCCCGAGGAGGACGGCGACAGAGGAAGCCGGGCCTGGCGGCTCCCCCCGCACAGATGGCAGTGGGCGCGGAGCTCCTCGTGCAGGCAGTGGCAGCAGTAGGAGGGCCCGCACGGCGCCACCACCGGCTCGCCCAGGAAGCCCCGGCAGCCGCCGCAGCTGAAGAGTCCTGCCGCCCCTCCTCCTCCGTCGGCTCCCTGCTGCCCTGGTAGCCGGAGGCGGTAGTGCCGCACCATGCAGTCCACCAGCGGCCTCAGGCGGCGGTGTGAGGCCGGGCCAAGGTGCACCAGCGCACCGGCAGAGGAAGGTGGTGGCGGTGGGCAGGCCGGCGGGCGGGCCTCTCTGGAGGCCTTTTTCTGCCTGCAGAGAAAAGCGGCGGGCGGGGGGGAACTCCGGAGAAGTTTCTCTGCCCGGCGGCGATCGTGCTCTGTCGCATTTAAGCGGGGCTGGGTGGGGAAGGGGCTGACCCCTCCCCTGCGAGGCTTGAGCGAGTGGGTCTGCTCCTTGGAGAGCGGGTCGCCTGAGCTTCTTCAACCCCCCCTCCCGTCGGGGGCTCCAGTCCCCTCGCCTGAAGAGCTGGGGCCTTGGCTCGGAAGCAGGGGGCGGGGCTTCGTCGTGCTCCGCCCCCTCGCACCTCAGTCGGGGGAATGGCGATCCCCCGCGTTTCCCCCCAAAACGACCCCTGTTTAAATCCAATCTCTTCTTCTTCTTCTAAGCCTAATAAAGTTCTTTAAGTCTAAGGGAGGGGGGACTTTGTTCCAGCTGCTCTTAAACTGTTCAAGTTTAAGATTATATCACAATTACTATACGCAACCTTTTAGGCCCTTCTGAGTCTCGCTTTTTGCCATTAGAATAGGTACAATATGAATTTCTAAGGGCAGTATTACGGGTCCCAAACTCCGACGCAAGCTCCATGATTCAATTAGAAACAGGGATGGTGAAAATAACTGCCAGAACAATTCTCTCTTTATTAAACCTTTTGTTTAAGATAAATAAAATCTCCTGTGGTCTTGCTTCGTTAATTGTGCAGGACGATTTTCAATCAAGGTGGCTTAAAGCAGTTCATACAAAATTAGCTCAGGTTGGATTTTCCCCTGATTCAGTTCTTCATCTGGGTTATGATACAGCTAGTCGGCTCCTCAGGCGGAGAGTGGAAGACATAGAACACCAATTCAACATTTCCAAAGCACCAGATTTCATTGTTGCCCCTCAAAGACGTTGTCTTCTCCAATCGGCCTCTTACTTATATAGCCTGGAAAATGTTAACCAAAGAAGAGCCTTTTCTCTTGCAAGGCAAGCAGCAGGTTTCATTTCGTAGAAAAAGAGGTACAGGAGCTCATTTGCACAACTCATTTGCATATGCCACACCCCCTGACAAATGGCAGGGCATGTGGAGCACCTGGAGAAGATTGGGCAGGGAACCCAGGCATGTTTAGAATGCCTTTCTTTCCCTTCCCCATATGGGGAAGGGAAAGAAAGGCATTTAAATCCCCCCCCCTTCCCCGATTTTCTCCACAAAAGAAGAGAGGCTCAGGGAAAAGATGGGCATGTCTGCCCGCCTCCCCTCCCCCTCCCCATCCAACCCATTGCGGCTGGCTGGCTAGAGAAGAGAAGGGCACACAGACATGCCTGGGTTCCCTGCCTGATTTTCTCCAGAAGATCTCCTAGTGAAGATCGGGCAGGGAACCCAGGCATGTTTAGAACGCCTTTCTTTCCCTTCCCCAGGAAAGGCGGGGGGGGGGCTCTGCAGGCCTTCCGTGGCCCATCCCCATGGGCAGGTGGGCCAGGAAAGGCGGGGGGGTCCTGCCCTTGGGCTCCTTACTGCCGGAGTACCATTTCAGTACCCCTGAAGTACCCCTGGCTAGAAGTATTGCCATCAGCAGTTGTTGAGGGTAGATGTAATAAAATCACTCAAGCTGAGAGAATATGTCCTTGTAACACTGATGCAATAGAGACAACACACGTATTACTTTACTGCTGGATATACAATGAAATTCGCCTGACCTTTGTTTTGCAGATATTACCGAAAGGTCCCGAAATCTCTGAGAAAGAGATTGTTAATACATTTCTTTCTGATGAGAACACGGAGACTACTAAGAAAATAGCAAAATTTTGT